GAGGGGCCGTGGCCGAGGCCAGGGTCCCCACCGCTGGTCTGCATTGGCGAGCCCTTTGTCTTCTGTGTGGATGCCGGGGGCAATGTGGACTGGACCGCTCCTGGCACAGGCAGCCCCGAGCCAGAGCCCGAGATCCCCTCTGAGCTGCCCCCTCCCTGGGCTGCTGAAGAGAGGCCAGAGGTGCCCTTTGAGGGCGAGAGCGTGGTGGAGGAGGAAGAGGAAGGAGATGCTTGCGTGATTGAGGAGCCTCAGGACACTGCAGGCCTCTCGGGACGGGACCCCAAGATTCTCACACACCATGGCCACCAGCTGACCCTGGCTGACCTTGAAGACTACGTGCCCCGCGAAGGGGAGTCCTTTGGCTGTGGTGGCCCTGTGCCCACCACCTCCGATGACAGCCCGCCCTGTGAGGTCTCCGTGCTCCAGACCGAGATCAGTGAGCCCACTGTGGGGCGGCCCGTCCTGCTGGCCGTGGGCCACCCACCTGGTTCCCAGGGCCCACCCAGCTTTTTCAGCCATGCCCCCCAACCCCGTGCCTCCGAGCTGCCTCTGCTGGGAACCCAGGCCCGCGACCCGGCCGGAGTCTCCTTCTGCGTGCAGGGGGCCCGGCCCGGGAAGACGTCCTTCTGCACCCACGTCCAGCACACTGTGGACAGTGGACAGAGCAGCTTCAAAATGGAAGTTTCTACCCAGACAGTCAGCGTTGGGACAGTGGGCGAGACGGTCACCCTGCATATCCGCCCAGATGGGGACGAGTCCCCCAGCCCCTCCCAGAGCTGAAGCTGCAGTCTTCAAGGGCTCGGATGGCTGGGGCCAACGGATGCCGCTCTGTAGAATTCACAGGGCTGGACACCCAGGACCTCCTGTCTGAGCCAGCCCTGTCATCATGGGCAGCCGCAAGGCATGTTCCTGTCCCCTTGCTGCATCATTCCACGGGACAGCAGGGAGAGGGGGAGGTCTGGGGTCCCTAGACCCCGCCCTGCACCAACACCGGGCCCTGGAAGCCGCCAGGCTCACCTTAGATGTTGGGCTCAGGAGAGACTGGGAACCCAGCACTTGCCTTCTCTTCAACGACAACGAACCAGCTAGAGCCGCCCTGGCCCTTCCTACCTCACAGACCTTGTCTGTCCCTGAACGGATATGCAAGACTCTGCAGGGTCTGAGGGTGCAGCGGGGAGCCCCTAGGGAGGCCTGGCGCCCAGCAGGAGAAGGCTGGGCTGCCTGGTGGGCCCATGTGGCCTGCTCTTCCTGGGGCCCTGCCCCTCCTCCAGACTGTAGGGAGCCCTGTAGGTCAGACTGGGGGACTCGGCCTTCCTCTGGGGGCCAGGTCTTACAGATGAACGTTTTTCTTGGCCTCCGGGGCCTGAGTGGTGCCCCAGCTCCTGCAGCCCCTCCCTGCAACCCTCTGCAGGGGTGGACATGAGGGTTTATGCAGGGGGAGGGGGCTGGGTTGGAAGCATCTGCCAGTTGACTTTGAATAAATGGGTCACATCCATTACCTGTGCTGTGCTCCTCCTTCTCAGCCCAGCTGCCCCATCTCAGCTGCTCCAGCGACTTGGGCAGGCAGGGGACACCTGGCCTGGTGGGGGAACACCTGGCCTGGCGGGGGGCACCTGGCCTGGCGGGGGGACACCTGGCCTGGCGGGGGAACACCTGGCCTGGCGGGGGGCACCTGGCCTGGTGGGGGAACGCCTGGCGGGGGACTCCTGGCCTGGTGGGGGAACACCTGGCCTGGTGGGGGGCACCTGGCCCCTGCTTCTGCATCATGGGGTTGGGTCCCGCTGGGCCTGACTCTGGGATCAAAGGGCTACCTCGGGTCAGCCCCCCTGTACCCCATCTGCCCTTTGTCCAGCACCTCCCAGGCAGGATGGGACAGTCCCACCCTACACCTAGCACTTCTTCTTCCCTTGTCCCCATGTGGTCGTCGGGGGTCTGGAAGGTCAGGGCACACAGCGGGAGAGATGCAGACATCCTGGCCCCTGCCCTCCCCCAGCGTCCCCAGGGGTGCGTGAAGATTCTAGCCCAGCTTGTACACCGGGGCTCCCTGACCATGACTCATCACAGGGCCTTGTGAGGTGACCACCCCAGGTCAGCCCCCGTAATGGTCGGTCACAGCCGCCAGCAGGCCTTCCTGACCCCCCTGCACCACGGGCCACTGTCAAGACAGATGGGGGTGTCTGTGAGGTGAGACTCTCACCACTTCTCGCCCTGTCATCACCAGACACGGGGACCCCTGGGAGCCGGAAGCAGTGTCCCCAGAGGCACCTGGCAGCCCCCAAGACCAGTGCCGGCCCCCAGCAGGTTTCCAGCCCCGAGGCCGGCCCCAGGGTCCCGTTACGTCCTTAGAGTCGGGAAGGAGAGAACCGGGGCCCTTCCCAGAATAAAGGATAAGTGTAACACAGAGGGAACCCAGGTGTCTGGGGTTCCAGGGGGGCACCTGCCGGGTGAAAGACACATGAGCGTGATCAAAGGAGCATGGGGGTGGGGGAGGGCCCCAGGCGGGTCTGAAACAGCCAGATTCTGCTCAGAACTGGGTGCAGAGTGTACTGCAGGGTGTGGCTGGAGGCCGGCCCTGGTCGCTAAGGGGAGGAAGTGGACTCCACCCGTGCCCCAGAGGCAGTGTGCCAGGCTGAGTGAGGGGTGCAGGCCGCGGCAGAGTGGTGTATGGAGGAGAAAGTGGGTGTCCAGCAGGGCGTGGGCAAGGGCTGCCCCTGCAAGGTGGACCTGGTGCTATGTCCCACGAAGGGCCACAACAGCCACTGCCCAACGCCACCTCACAGCCCCTGGCCCCTGCTTCTGCATCACAGGGCTGGGTCCCACTGTGTCCCCCAGGCTGTGCGGCTCAGCACCTGGGGTCTGGAGCCAGTCTCCAGGGGGCCCGTGGTGGGGTGGGATGAGGGGTGGGCTGTTGTCCGAGGTCTGGCTATCTCCCCGCTGGTACGCAGGCAGCAGCCTGGGTCTTGGTGTCCCAAGGGAGGCCAGGCACTGCGCTCAAGGGGGACGGAGGCTGCAGCTGGGTACGTGGCATGGCAGGCCTCTCTGCCTAGGCTGTCAGTTGGAGGAAGCAGCTGCCCAGACTGACATCTGCCCTCAGGACTGGTCTCCCAGGCCTTCCTTTCTCTCTCAAAGGCCTCTGCTCCAGGCAGCCCCCCAAGCTCATGAGAGAATGGGTGGGCAGGACCCAAGCAGTCTCGAGGACTGTGAGCACACCCAGACTGGTCTCTGGGTGAATCTGTCCCCCGAACTCCCCTCACTCCCTCCAGGCTAATAAGGCTTCTTCCACAGATGCTGCTGTCCCAGCCCCAGCTGCCCTGGAGGACTCTGTCTGCCTGGAGGACCCTATCTGCCCAGAGGACTCTATCCAGCTAAAGGACTCTGTCCGCCCGGAGGACTCCATCCATCCAGAGGACTCTGTCCGCCCGAAGGACTCTGTCCAAACACCCCTGGAGCAAGCCGACCGGGAGATCCAGTCGGCCCTTCGGAGAGTGGAAGACCCTGAGGCTCCAGGCCCTTCTTTAGGGGACCACGGTCCTGGCAGCCCCCTGCTCACAGGCCTCACACCTGGCGGGGAGCCTGCACTACAGGAGGCCGGCCTGTCACCCCCAGGCACGGGAGCCACAGATGCATCCGGTGAGGCCCTGCTCCCCCTGCCCACAGCTTCCCCGCACCCACTGCCTCCCCGGTGCTGCAGCTGACACGGCATGCTCACCGCGGGGCCCCATACAGAACACCGCCAACACCAGCACGAGGGCCCTGGGCAGCCCACCCCTCGCTTGGCTCCGTTTCCCCATCTATAAAATGAGGCGGCGGGGTATGTTTCTGAGGCTCTTCCATCCGGAGCACCTGTTCCGGGGAGCCAGATCCTCCTATGGTCAAGGGGGCCTGATGGGGGTTGGTGGGGAGGGGCGTGGGCAGACAGCTTGGATGGGGACGGTGCTGTGCCCCCACCATCCCTGCCACTGCCTTCCGGCTCTAAGGCCTCAGAAAACCCTTTGCACATGGGGCTCTCCTGTTCGGGAGCATTTTCAGGAATTTTCCCCAAGCTGACAGTGGTGCATATGAGGACAGCGGGGCCCCCAGTGGGAAGAGCCCTTCCACAGGCCCCACTGCCTGCTGCTGGCCGAAGAGGCAGGATTGGGGCCGGGTGGCCGACCCTGCCTCCAGGCAGCAGCTGTGGGGACCTGGAGAGTCTGAGCTCCCCCACGTGGTGGTCAGCGCCAGGGTAGGCGGTGCCAGGGCGCCAGGGCTGATGGGAGGCCAGAGCCTCCTCTCTCCTCCTGCCCCTCCAGTCCCGCTCCCTCCCTGTCTGTCCATCAGTCCCTCACCCCCACTCTGGATTCTGGCCCCCACATGCTCTCTCTAGTCCTCGCCCTTCCCCCTACTCAGCCTCCACCATTTTTTACCCAAAGCTGGCACCCTAGCAGCGCTGTCTGCCCCTCCCTCCTTGCCCGATAACTCCCCGAGAGCACCCCTAATGCCACCCTTGCTCAGCACCCTCCGAGGCCCCATCACCTTCTCGGTGACGCCCCCACAGGGAGTCCCACTTTGGCTGAGGAGCCGGGCAAGACCAGGGCAGGTCTGGTGCTGAGACTGGGTCAGACCCTCCCCAAAGGACCACAGGGCAGAAGGGAACCCCCCGCCATGGCTCCCAAGCTTCACTGTCCTGAGCCCAAGCTGAGCCCCCATGCTGCCTCCTCAGCCTGCCAGGGCCTGGGCCCAGAGGTGCCCCCTGCAGCACCCCTGTGCCAATGGGCAGGGCGACTGCTGGCTGGTTCCTGGCCCCGCCTGTTCACAGATTGCCTGCCTCAGGCCCCGGTTCTCTGCAGGGCATGCCCATCACAGCACTTGTTAGGGTACGACTGGCCCAGCGCAGCACCTGGCCAGAGGGAGGGGCCTCTTAGGGAAGGGGTCAGCTTCCTTTTCGTTTTCCCGATTGTCACCACCACCCGCACTGACCCAGGCCCGAGGTCCTCATGTGTGTGCCAGAGGCCCTGGGCAAGGGCGTTCAGGAGGCAGGACCACGCACACAGGCACAAGCCCTGGCACCTCACCTGCATCCCCACCCTGCACAGCCAGACTGTTGGGTTTGGGATGGAGGCCTTCTCTCGCCTTCACTGAACACACAGGGGCTCAGCCGCCTGGCTCCATGCCCCCGGCCCTGCTCTAACACTGGCAAACTGCAGCACGGAGACAGCAGGGGCTGCGTGTTGTTCAGCCTGTCCTGGTGGCTTGGGGTTACCGTCACCACCTTGATGGATGCTGCACCCCCTGTGCTCTCCCTCTTCATCTGAGCATCACCTCACATCCACGCGCAGGCCCCAGCCAGAGTTTCCCACCAGTTCCAGCACCTTCGGGGCCTACCCTGTTCAGTGGGCTCGTGGTCAGCCCTGATCTCGTTTGTGTAGCCTGCTGCGTGCCTCTGTGATGCGTCTCCTCCTGGGGCTGTGTGCCGGGTCAGCAGAAACCATGTGAGGCTCCTTGCGTGGTGCGTGGGCGCCTGGTGTCTGCTGGATGCCTAGCCTCTGGTCCTGTGCACGTCACTTATTCATTCGTCAAAGACCTAGGACCCCTTGGTGCTGGGCACAGCACCTTCCCATGTGGCCTGGGTCTTGGCAGCCCACCCTCCCAAGGCAGAGGGCTGAGCCAGCACACCCAGTCACTGTGTCCAGAGAGCGGGGGCTGCTGCAAGCCCGTTCTTAGGCACCAGGGGCCCTGCAGCAGGGACATCAGGGCTTGGCTGCAGGCTACGTATAGGGTGCCCTGTGTCAGAGACCCTCCCTGTCCTCACCCCAGAACCTGGTGTCCCTGGAACCCGCCATGTGCCTCTGTCCCTACCCCCACCCCAGCCTGAGATGGTGCATGCCCATCCTCTCTGGCCCATTTCCCCCAGTCCCACCAAGGCTGTGCCTCACTCGGCCCCTTGTCTCCCACCAGTCAACGTCCCCGGTGAGCCCCAGGGGGTGGCGCAGCCCCTCCCTGGTGCAGGCCTGGAGCAGGAGACGGCAGCAGGTGCCAGGGCCCAGGAACGGACTGTCCCCATTCGGTAACCAACCCCGCTGTGTGGGTGGGTCACGTGGTGGGGCAGCGCATAGTGTGGCCTCCTATCTCTGGGGACCTGCTATGGGGAAAGCAGGGCCCACCCACCCTGCCCACAGGGCTCTGGGCCTGAGGGTTGCAGCTTGCCAGCCCCTTACCCTGAGCCTGAAGGCAAGGCAGGGGGAGAGGCTGCCCTCTTGGGTGAGTGGGTGGGCCGAGGGCTCACAGCTGCCCACTTACGACCACAGGATAGAGGGTGCGGCCTGGCCCGGGGCAGGGACAGCAGAGTCGCTCTGGGACGCCCACAGCCACATGTTCATGGAGACCACCTACAGGAGCTACGTGTACCAGGCCAGCGACACTGCTGTCACAAGTACGGGGGACAGGCCCAGTGGGGTGGCGTCTGTGCTTGAGCCCGCACTGTGGAATCTTTGCTCACAGAGGCCTGTATGGCCCTTCAGCGTGTCCCAGCCTGGGGCAGCCCTTCAGTGTGTCCCAGCCTGGGGCCTCCCCACTGTGGCCTGGGGCTCACAGGGGCCCTCTGTCTCTGGCCCATCACTGGGGTGGCTGGAGCCCTCTGCTGTGGCCAGGAGGCCGCAAACAACTGAACCGTCCATAGGGCCATTTTCCCCAACAGCCCAAAGTTAGCACGTTCTGTGTGCACTGGCCCGACTATCCTCCTGAGCTTGTATTGGCTTAGGCCAAAGCAGGAGAGACAGTGTTTACGCGGAAGGAAGGACTGCCTGATTGTCAGACATCTCAGCAGAGTTAGGAGGGGGTAATTCTGCATTTGGGAAGCAAGTGAGCATCTGCTGAGTAGGCTGTATCTCAGGGCTGTGCTGACCCTTGGCGACGCTAGGACACCCTGCCACTGTATTTCCAGCACATAGTAGGTGCTCAGCGAGCTGCACTCTGGGCTGTGTGGGCCCCCAGGGCCCTGGGCTCACAGGCTCCCGCCCGGTCCAGGGCCCCCGTCCATGCAGGTCACCATCGAAGACATGCAGGCGCCAAGGGGCAGTACAGCTCAGTTTCAGGCTGTCATTGAAGGCAATCCCCAGCCCACGGTGGCCTGGTACAAGGTACGGGAGGGGAACCCTTCGTCCCGCATTTCCCTCTCTGGGTCCTTTCTGGGCCAGGCAGTGCTGGGCACACAGCAGGCATTGGGAGCTCCACTTGGGCAAGTAAGGGCGAGAATGGGTGCTGGGACCTGGGGCGCCTGGGGCCCCTGGGGTGGGCTGCTGGCTGCCCTGACTCCTGAGCCTCCAGGACAGTGCTCGGCTGGAGGACAGCGCCCGGCTCAGCCAGCAGCAGGACGGGACCACGTATTCCCTGGTGCTGCGAGACGTGGACCAGCACGATGCTGGCGTCTACACCTGCCTGGCCCACAATGCCGGCGGCGAGGTGCTGTGCAAGGCAGAGCTGCTGATCCTTGGGGGTGAGTCGGGCCGACGCCGGCCACGTCCGCTGTCTGAGGAGGACATGCATGTGTGAGTGGGTAGGATGGCACCTCGAGTTGGGTGGCAGGAACCGGGCCTTCGTGTCCGCCCACAGACGGTCCCCTCGCCTTGTCTGTAGGAGAAAGCGAGCCGGAATCGGAATCGGAGAGGCAAAGCAGCCGAAGGAAACTGCACTCTTTCTATGAGGTCCACGAGGAGATTGGCAGGTTTGGCCCCGTCCTGCGGCGGGAGGGGTGTGGCTGAGCCCCGACCCAGGCATCCACCGTGAGCTCCCTCCGCTCAGGGGTGTGTTCGGCTTCGTGAAGAGAGTGCAACACAAGGGAAACAAGATGTCCTGTGCCGCCAAGTTCATCTCCCTGCGGAGCAAGATGCGGGCCAAGGCCTACCACGAGCGGGACATCCTCGCCACACTTAGCCACCCGCTCATCACCAAGCTGCTGGACCAGTTCGAGACCCAGAAGACCCTAATCCTCATCCTGGAGCTGTATCCTGCCCTTAGGCCCTGGAGGGTGGGGGAGGCACGCATCTGAGAAGGCGGGGTGCCACAAGGCCACATGGGGCTCAGCTGCTGTTCTTCAGGAGCTGTGTGTGGTCCTGGCCTCTCAGGCCCCAGCCTGGGGGTGTGGTGGCAGCAGGAAGCCCACTGTCCCTGAATCCTACCCCTCTGCCCCCTTAGCCTTAGACCTCATGAGTCTGTGGATTAGAAATTGGGCAGGGCTAGGCAGAATGGTTCTTCTGTTCCACATGATGTCCACTGGGGGCCACTCACTGGTGTTCTGCTTGCAGCTGGTCCGATCAGGAGGGTCCAGGATGGCTTCAGTCCCTGCTTGGGTGGGGATGGCTAGTAGGCTGGACCAGCCAGGCTCCTCTCTGTCCCCACGTGGCCTCTCCAGTGCTTCCTACGTGCAGTCCTGCTCCAAGGGCCTTGGCAGTGGCGTCACTGGGGGGGAGGGGGGTGCGGACCGCACCGGGTAGTACTGTCAGAGGGGGTGACACCAAAATAACTCTATAAAATTTTTGTGCAGTGTTTCAGCAGAAATATATTATTTTTCATAAAACTATCCCTGTCAGTTATAAAAACAAAAACATTTTTTGTAAGCCCAACCTACATGTATCAATATACTTACAAGGCTAAAAGTTGGCTAATTTACTTTTTGAAACTTCTAATGCGCTGCAGAGCCCTGGTGGTGCAGTGGTCAAGAGCTATGGCTGCTAACCAAAAGGCTGGCAGTTTGAATTCACCAGCCACCCCTTGGAAACCCTATGGAGCCGTTCTACTCTGTCCTACAGGGTCCCTACAGCCGGAATCGACTCAACGGCAGCTGGTTTTGTTCTTTTTCGTTTAACGCAGCTCCAGTCAGAGCTACCGTTACGCCCCACTCACAATGACGCTTCGAGTCACGGGGTTTTGTCCGTATGTGCTATAAGCAGGTGCTGTTGTTTTCATTGCTGCCAGCGTACAGGAGGAGGTCCATGGTGGGGGGGAGTGACACCGTGAGTTACCGCATCGGACGACATCAACCCTAATGACACCACTGGGCTGGGTCCCAGAGTCAGGAGTGAATGCCGCCAGACTCGTAGGGCCTGGGAGTTTGTGCAGTGTGCCTCACTTCCTCCCTATTCCCCACCCAGGTTCAAGGAAGGGCACAGACACCCCCCACCTTAACTCGCCACCCTGGGCTGGGCCCCACCCACGCATGCACAGCCACAGCTGCGCCAAGGTTGCTGGGGCTCTGTCTGAGGGTCTCTGAGCATCATGTGAGCTCACCAACCTGTCAGCTGCCAGCCCCCATCCAGCCCCTCCCAGAGCATCCTCTGTCCAAGAGGTGGTACTGGGCTGGGCTCCACTCCCCAGTGCCCCCCAGCTTGGCCTGCAGCCCTCTCCTTAAGGTTGGGTGTTTTCTAGGGTCTTGTGGTGCTCCTCACACCCTCCTCCTTCCCTGAGCTCCATCCTCCTCGTAAAACCCCCCACCTCAGCCCCAGAGGCCTGCAGTCTGAATCATAAGGTAAGACCTTCCATGGTCCCGGTTGCCTCGCCGTGACTCTCCTTGACTGCGACCCAGGTGTTCATCAGAGGAGCTGCTGGACCGTCTATTCAAGAAGAGCGTGATGACGGAGGCCGAGGTGACTGCCCCCCTCGCTCAGACCACCTGAGGCACAGCACCACCTCCCTCCCTCAGCCTTAGACCTGTGCCCCCAGACCACACTCAAGGCAGAGCACTCCCCAGCTCAGAGACTTTCTCTGGCCCCCCAGGGCTAGAAGGCCTGTGGAGGCTCCTCAGCCAGGCTCTCAAAGCTCTCCCACTCCCTGGCGGCCTGTCCTCCCACTTCTAGACTGCATCTGAGTCCGCTTTTCACCCTCCTGCGGCTCTGGCTTTGCTCAGGCTCTTCTTTCTCCTGAGAATGCACGCACACAAACTCTCCCCATGTCCCAAGACCCAGCTCAGGCCCTTCCCAGCCTTGGGCCCCACTTGAGCCTGGGCACACAAGGTCTAGGGTGACCTCCCACGTGACCTGCCCTGTGGGACTCATCCTAGGCTGTGAGGCCTGAGCGAAGAAGTGGGGGTGTTTAATGTGGGAGGAGCCGCAGGGAGCAGGGCGAGGGGGGAGGGGAGGGACAGTCGGGTGGGCTCTCACCTGAGCTCGGGGCTTCCCCACAGGTGAAGATCTACATCCAGCAGCTGGTGGAGGGGCTGCAGTACCTGCACACCAACGGCATCCTCCACCTGGACATAAAGGTGCCTGGCCTTGTGCTCCCATCCAGGCACAGATGCCCCCTCCAACCTCCCTGACAAGCCCCCTCACCTCCAGGGATGGGAGGCCACTACCCTACGACAGTCCCCACAGGGGGCTGTGGCTCTGACCCAGTGAAGCTCTCCCGAAATGGCAGAAAACCAGCCCCTGGGGCTCCTGCCTCCCCCATAGGCCTCCTAGTTGCCAGGCGATGGCCCTTCAGACCCCTGAGTGTCCTCCTGCAGGCCTGGCCCCTACTCACTCCCCCCAACTCTGCTGACAGCCCGCCAACATCTTGATGGTGCACCCTGCTCGAGAGGACATCAAAATCTGCGACTTCGGCTTTGCCCAAAAAATCACCCCCTCAGAGCCCCAGTACAGCAAGTATGGCTCCCCGGAGTTTGTGCCCCCTGAGGTCATCGAGCAGACCCCCGTGAGCGAGGGTTCTGACATCTGGTGAGTAGGGCCCAGGCCAGACGGGCCTCCCAACCCCAAGGACCCGCAGGTCCCACCATTGCCCACCCTTCCCCTACTCTTCTGCACGGGGGGCAGAATGGGGCTCGGCTCCCCGCCTTCCCGCCCCCACCCCCTCGTTTGTGAGCCAGGCCTGGGCGACTCAATCTGTGCTCTTATTACACACAGGGCCATGGGAGTCATCTCCTACCTCAGGTAAGCAGCCCTGGTGTCCTCCCACCTCTTCCAAAAGCCGAACCCAGGCCTCTCCCCACCAGGCCCACTGAAGCCATGGCCGTGCAGGCCACCCTCCCAGATTAGAGACCTACTATCTTGGGACCAGGCAGTCACGCCTCCTCTGATAGGACATTCCTGCTGAGGTTTGCTCCCATGTCACCAGAAGCAGCTCTGCCAGGTCACGGGGCAGACAACTGTGCTATGCATTCCCAAAGGGTTCTGAGGTGATTTGTCCAGAGGTCACGTGTAACAGTCACTGCCGTCCTGAGGTGATTTGTCCAGGGGTCACTCGTAACAGTCACTGCCGTCCTGAGGTGATTTGTCCAGGGGTCA